AACACTATAGTGCCTCTGGGGCCCCATACCACTCCTTTGTCCCCTTCCTTGCAGGAATTTTTACTTATTGATTGTAGAATACGTTTGAATATTTACCCATTATTTTGTGATTGTTCTGGTTGTACATAGATATATATATAAAAACGTAGATAGAGTTAGTTTTTTGGACACTTTATGCACCTGTTTAGCACTTCGATTGTGTAGGCACCGGTCACTTTAGGGTTTAAATATCCCCACTCTCCTGATACATAAATATTAGTGCCTTGTTTAGGCGTTTGGCAATGTTCTGCTAATAAATCTGCATTTTTTCTTTACATTGCGGTATCCTTTTTTGTATTTGTGTATTCCATTTTTTGGTCTATGGTAGTTGCCAAGATACCTGCACCTAGAACAGAGTGCTAACACACCTTGTACTTTTTAGTCACTAGAGGCAGTCTTAGTACTGCAAATACCGTATTTTGCCATGTATAAGACTATATTTTTCAAAAACATTTTAGTCCAAAATTGAGGTCGTCTTATACACGCAATGTCAGTCGCATGTGGCTGGAGCTCCTTCAAAAATCTAATTATTAAGCCAAATACTTACTGTACTTACGCGCAATTTGGGCACAAAACTTGGCTACTCGCTGACAAAACACTCAGCGAAATGTTGGGTTAGCTACCGCCAGGTTCCTGCAGGCATAAGCTGTGTTGTACACCCTGCTGACATACTTGAAGGAAAGGAGGTGCTTCTCCGTGAATTTGATCGATTGTGTAGGTGGGTCTGGGAGATCTTGCACAACCGCATGCAGTTAAGAACCATTCGGCCCATCTAGTCTTCCCAATTTTCTAACTACTTTCATTAGTCCTTGGCCCTTTCTTATAGCTAGGATAGGATAGAAAGGGGACCAGTGTCCAGTTGTGGCCAGACTTTGGGGAGCATCCTACCGTAGTGTAAGGGGGACCGGAGCCGGTGGGGGTTCCTGATCAGTCAAACTGGACTTCAGTGCTATAGATGTTTAATATATGTATTTCTTAATTTTGGGTCAAAAAAATAGGTGTCGAATAATTCCTCAAAAATGGCAATGTTCTCCGTTGTAAGACTAAAGAGGACAGGGATAGTGCACCCAGACCATTTCAATGAGATCAAGTGGTCTGGGTGCTAATAGTGTTTCATTAATAACCACATATATATACATATATATATATATATATATATATATATATATATATATATATACATTATACATACATTATATATATATACATATAGTTATTAATGAAACACTATAAGCACCCAGACCATATACACATAAGATAACTCCTCTTATTCAGTGGAGAGACAGGGTTCTTGCTGCAGTTCCATTCACCCTTCAATGATTAATCTGCATTGGCAGCTTTGCCATCTTAATTGATGGTGTATGCAGCTCTGTTTGACTCACAGCCTAACTTTGAATGTCTAATTATTTTATTTGAGTTTAATGAAGATTGCACATATTACGTATACGCACATATTCTTATCACACCAGATGTCACAGCCTATTTTGTGTTTCTTTTTAAAACTACAGAAACAGAAAGGAGAGGTGTAACTAATGCAAACCATGAATAGTAATTTTAATTAGTAAATATCTAAAAACATTTCTGTACGCATGTCATGTACCGTATAACACTATAAGCACCCAGATCATATACACATAAGATAACTCCTCTAATTCAGTGAATAGACAGGTTCTTGCTGCAGTTCCATTCATCCCTCTGGTGATCACCACTAGTAATATCCTTGTTAATTCAATACTTTTTATGGAGAAGAATTAGAAGGCAGGATTCATATGCAGCAATAACCGTAATCCAAGAGAAAAATAGAGCAGCTGCTATATATATCTAACTGAACAGAAATGGTAACGCAGCAGCTGAAAATGGGGAATACCATCTAAAACCCCTAACAGCAATACAGTGGAGTACAGGAACTGGAAATAGAAAAGATAAAAAAGACAACTACAAATGGTACAAATACTACCAGATAAAATATAATGTCCCAAAAATAGTCATTTATCATAAATATCCTTAATAAGATTCTTTATAGTAGCTTCTCTTTATAAATGCCATATGCAAGAAATCAGAAAAACAGGAAAGCCAATAGTGCAGTATGTCAAATATTCAGGAGGACGCACAGCACATAGGTAAAATGCCCACTCACATATGGTGAAGCTAAATCAGCTCTGGATAAAACAGCACACAATGGTACAAATCCCAACATGTAGAATAAAACTCTCTCAATAGTCAGCAGCAGACCACATAAAACAGGCAAATCACATAAAACAAGAGAAAGAGATGCAATAGTGCTCTCTGTATAAAATAGTGGTATGAGGAGTAATAAAATACTAATTACATTTAGCTGAAATTAATCAGATGCTTAAAATTAACTTTCTCAAAGTGCCCTGGATAATCACCACTGCATACCTTGAATTTCCCAAATATAAGTTTATAATGCACTAGTTGGGACCTTGGGTTATTTTAGATAGCAATATATAAAGTGAGTCAATTCATTAGCTCTCTGTTGTCTATTTGAAATTTAATGTCCTTCACTTTGATATTACGATCGCCGTTAGGTCTGGCTTTGACCACATTCTGGTTATGCAAATAACTAAATCCAAAAACTGAAAATATTTTACATCAACCAACCAACTAACATGCAAAGAATGTATGGGTCTCTTTCTTTATTTCCTTACATTCTTTTTCAAGTTCTTATCCTTTGACCTTCTTTTCTTTATTATGTTTGGCCTCTGGCTTCACCCTTCCTGGACGAATGTGTCACATGAGTGCAATGAGGAAAGATAAGCCCCCTACTATAGTGTACTATGTGTACATAAGCACATGTTCTTAAAAAAGTTAACTTAATGTGCCATGACCACTTCAGTGGACCCAGGGCAAATATGTATTGATCACAGAGTTAATTATGTATTTATAAAATGTATTGCACACATTCCACTTGTTATAGAGCTCTATATAATATTAATGGTTATCATTTCTCTGATCTCATATATTCAGATGGATTTTCATCAGTTGATAAAGCAGTTTAACAGACATTTTACAGATACACTATTACATATTAAGTTTTTTTTTTGGCAATCTTGATATGTGTTTTTCATTTTGAAGACAAGGTAAAACACATGATAGTGTACATTTACCTTAGTGATGAACTGCTTTGTAACAGGCATGTACATAGCATTATTAGTGTGTACAAAATCCGTCCAAGGTCAATCAGCAAAATCAATATACCAATACATGCCATTAAATGGACCTATATCGAGATTTGCCTATAGAATGTAAGCTCGATTGAGCAGGATCCTTTTCAACCTATGGTTCCTGTAAGTGTTTTGTAATTGTCCTATTTATAGTTAAATCCCCCTCTTATATTATTGTAAAGCACTACGGAATCTGTTGGCGCTATATAAATAGCAATAATAATAATAATAATAATGCTTTGCCAGCATGAGTGTAACATACCTAAGATGAGGAGGGAAGAGGTCAAGGGGAAAGAGAGAGAAGAAGGAGAGAGAGATGGGAAAAAAGTTTTAAAAAAAGGTTGGGAGAACCCTCACCCACCAATTTACCAGTCCAGACGGCCGATTAGTCAAATAATAGGGTAAAGGTCTGTTACGGAAAACTTCCCAATGGTGTTCAAAAAGTCCAGTCGTAAACATCTACTTGTTCTGCATACAGTCAGGACTTGTATTAAGGTTTGTTCACCATTTTCAATATACTTTTTTCTGAAATTCAGAATTTACACATACTGAATTGTATATTTTGAGTAAAATAGTATGAATCAACAATCACAATTATAACATTTTTCTACTGATTCTTCTGAGTTAAAAAGGAACCTAGGGCAAATATGTTTTGGTCACAGAGTTAATTATGTCTTTATAAAATGTATTGCAAACATTCCACTTGTTATAGCGCTCTATGTAATATTAATGATTATCATTTCTGTGATCTCATATATATTTTGTACTTTTTAATTTCCTGTGTCATGGGGATTTCCAACATGAAGGCCTCAGGTTTTGATAGTGCAGAGATCTGTTGCGGATATGTTGCTGACTTGTGGGTGCTCTGTTAGGTGTATAATAATTTAAAGGCTTGCAGCAGAAGGATTAAATAGTTTAGTTGAGAAAACTTAATTAAAAGCACATAATGACATGATAAAATTCTTGGAAGTTAAACTACTCTGTTATCCTCTAAAATATATCTTGAATCCATCCCTTTGGAGTCTACTTGGGTCATATCTTAGGTGTAGCGTTGTGGCATGGCCAAAACTCTTACGACATTGATATTTTATTTTATTTTTTTAATTTACTGATTCAATTTTTTTCTATAAAGTTATCATTTTCTAGAATGGTGAGACACAGCTGTGGTGCTGATCTTACTAAGCAAAACACTATATACTAGTATTATCCCACGGGCCATCACTTTCAATGAATAATCTGCATTGGCAGTTTTGCCATCTTAATTGATGGTGTATCCAGCTCTGTTTGACTCACAGCCTCACTTTGAATGTCTAATTATTTTATTTGAGTTTAATGAAGATTAAGCATTGCACATATTACGTATACGCACAGATTCTTATCACACCAGATGTCACAGCCTATTTTGTGTTTCTTTTGAAAACTACAGAAACAGAAAGGAGAGGTGTAAACACTAACGCAAACAGTGAACAGTCATTTTAATTAGTAAATATCTAAAAACGTTTCTGTACTCATGTCATGCACCGTATCATTCTGTTTATTTATAATAGACAAGAGGTTTAACCCCTTAAGGACCAAACTTCTGGAATAAAAGGGAATCATGACATGTCACACGTCATGTGTCCTTAAGGGGTTAAACTTAGTAATGATAGCTAATACAGTTGAACTTAGAAAATAACCACTAAATTGCCATTTTATTTTTTAATATAAGTTATATTTTTAATATTTAATATTTATATGGTATTCCATATATAACCAAATATAACATGATAATTATTACACCTATTACAATTCAATGGCCAAGTACACAAAATTAAAATAGAAATTATCAAATATCTTGCACGTGAGCATTTGTAAGGAAACTGCAGGAATTATGGGGAATGTAAAAGCCATAAATAATCAGAGCAATCACGCTTTTATACCAGTATTACACTCTCAGAGCATCTCAGAACTTATTTTCTAAGGATGCTTCGAAGTAAAGTTCACACTATCTTTGAAAAACATGACAGTCATTTTTAACTTAATGGACTGATCAGCATCCTCTTATAAAAGGTGGGTGTACATGCTTTCAAAAGCAATAGTTCTACCTTTTAGGTTTTATTAAATGAAAAATTCAACTTGCTATGTTTCCAATATCAACTAATAGTGACTAATGACATGAAAGAAAATACATGATCCTATTTGTCAAAAACAATATATCATATATCTGAATGCAATAAACTTTTATCAGTGTACGCCAGCAGAGCGAACCTTGTACAAATAAAAACATTACCTTGGGGCATGTAGCAGTAAAAGTAATCTAACCAAAAGGCACTTGGACTATTTCTTCAAATCCCGAGAACATTTACAGCTAATTTATGTCTGTGTAAAGCAAAATTAAGTTCAAATGTCTAAATGCCTTATTAAGATGACTGAGATGAAAGACAGATTATGCTGTCTTTATCCACTGCTTGGTGTTCTGAAGGAACATGTACTTTAGAATTGTCTTAAACTCCAGAACTTTGACAGCTTAATAAGTCAACTTAGATATTGAATATTAAGAGCCATTAGCAATAATGTACATGCCTTCATCGAAATCTGAGTGTGAATGTAGTTTGCATAGAATGACCATGTCATTTCTTATAAGCAATACTACAGAGTGTGGTCTGCACGGACAATATTGTGATGAAAATATAGACCAGTGCTGTCTTAACGTATGGGCAAGCTGGGAAGTTGCCCGGGGGTCTCCCGTGCATAGGGGCTCCATAGGCTTGCCAACTATCAGTATATTATCCATGTAATTTGATCAGAACCCTCAAACTCTCTTTATTAAAATGTTTATGTGGACTAATCACCTCATTATCAGGTGTTTTCTGTAGATGCAATATTGCTGTCGCAAATACATATTTTGACCTTGACGAAAACAACGTACACGTACTAATTGTACATAAGCAAGACAAAATCGACACACTGTTTTCTGAAGCCGTAAAGTTATAATAAATATTTTCTAAAATTTTGTCCATGTCAGCAGTTTCCCCCTGCTACATACTAACCATTTGTGTGGATTAATCTCTGCTGTACAGCATGGTTTTTAATGTTTTAAGACTGATTTTGTTGGAGGTACCAGTAAGTATAAGAGTAATTTTATTGATAATGTACATGTTTATTCCTGCGAGTGGTTGTGTAGGGAGGGCCCCAGTGCACTATATATAGACTATATATAGACAATATAAAACAACTGGTAAAGTTGATCAATGTGGAAACAAGTACTGAAACCTGAATATAGTATTTAACTGACCACTAAATTCAATTCTTGTATAGCGTTTTGTACAGCATGGCAATACTTTACTCTTTGACTTTTGGTTAGCTCATCTTCTTTTCAGCATAATGGACATGAAAAATAACTATAATATTAGGGCTCGAGTCCTGCAGGAACGCGTGGGAACAGCTTTCGAGCACTTTTTTTACAGCAGGAACACTGTTCCCATTGCTGCTGCAGACACTATCCCGGGGAACGGCAAAAAATGCCTCTCCCAAATGCCCCCCTGTGTTCCCCCTTTCATGGGCTTGATGGCCACCTGATGGACCCCCACCCCCCGGCAGGTGGCTGTCTCGCTGTCAGACGTGGCGAGGGAGCTGTGTTCTCTCTGCTCTGCTCCCTCACACGCCATTTGCTAATGGCGGGAGCTGGAATATGACATCATATTCTGGCTCCCAGCATCAGTAGACAGCCCGCACAGCGAGAGGGAGCAGAGAGAACACAGCTCCCTCGCCGCGTCTGACAGGGAGACAGCCGCCCGCCGCACTGAAGCCCCACTGGACCCCAGGGACAGATCCACACCAGGTCTCCAGGTAGAGAGGCTGGGTGGACATTTTTAAATGTAAAAAATATAAATAATTTGTGTGTGTCTCTGAGTGTGTCTGTATATGTGTGTGTGTCTGTGAGTGTATGTGTGTGTGTGTCTGTGAGTGTATGTCTGAGTATGTATGTGTGTCTGTGAGTGTATGTGTGTGTCTGTGAGTGTGTGTTTGAGTATTATGTGTGTGTCTGAGTATGTGTGTTTGAGTGTATGTGTGTGTGTCTGTGAGTGTATGTGTGTGTGCCTGTGAGTGTGTGTGTCTGTGAGTGTGTGTGTAGGTGTCGTGTGTGTGTGTGTATGTGTGTGTCTGTGAGTGTATGTGTGTGTGCACCTTTCAGTGTGTGTGTGCACGCGTTTATATATGCATACAAGTGTATATTATTTTTTGGGGGGTTTCGGGGTGGTGGATGTTGGGTGAGTTCCCACACTTTATTCTCCAGGACTTAACCCCTGAATATTAGTATGAGTAGGGTCTATACGATTAGAATCCAAATTGTAATATTAGTATGAATATGTCCACTCCATATCAGAAAGTCTAGGTTACTGGCTCCAGACTGTAGACTCCTACTCCTCATCCCACTACACCCAAAAAACAAACATAAAAACACGCTTGTAAAATTATGTTGCCATGGATTTTAAACTAGAAAATGCAATTACAGTAAGCTTGTAACAATTTGTGATATAGGATGAGGGAAGCTGCTCTGTAAATTAACAGTAGCCATTCTGTGGTTGGTATCAGATCTCACATAGCCGTGATCACTGTTTGGTGAACCTGATTATGTTAAGTTCTTGACAAGTTGTCTGCAGCATGCAGATACCCCGCATGCATAACTTCGACAACATGAATACAGGCAATCTGGAATTCTTGCTCAAGGCTGCCTGATTGACAGCTCTGGAAGTCCGTGTTAAACCTTAAACCATATTGTTTATAAATTGCAGTTCTAATCCCTGTACAGAGCTAAGTGCCTGTAGCCTGTTCTATGACCCATGAAGTTTTCAAAAATGCACAGTTGTTATAGTGCATAGCGTGACCCTTCAAAGGGAGGAAGTGTTTAGCTAATGCTAACGGTGATGTTTCTTTTAATATATATATTTTTTTGACTAGTGAGGATTTAAAATATCTCTATTTTTTTCCACTTTTTCTAATTTCCACTGTGAGGACCTCTCCTTCTCCAGCTCTTGCTGATGGAGACATGGTTATAATATAAGACTTGTTCTCAGTGTCTTTATGCATGTCTGTTGTAGATGAAGGTCCGGGTACTGGATTGACATCGTCTGGTTTCTTTCCCTCTCCTGCAGTGGGTTTGATTTTGGAATCAGCATCTCGTTCTTCCTTATTAATATTCTCCTTTTGCCCTACAAGCTGAGACGGGGAAATTTCATTCTTCAATGGCAAAAACTTGTGAAGTTCTAACTTTCCAGCCTGGAAGCAGAAACAAACATTAATTTTATCACTAGAAATAGCAATATACAGCCTGACAGCAAAATAAAATATGTGTTCGCGATGTTCTCTGTTTGTGTAAAACTGTTTTGCAGTTTGTTTAGCCGTCCAGCTACAGTATATTACACTAGATGTACAAATTGTGCCAGTGTCTGGTTAATGACTTGGCATTTGAAGAACATGTCCATTCTGTCCATTACATCAAAGTCAAAAACATAAAGGAAAAAATTATATGTGGCTTATTTCTTTAACTGGTAAAACTTAACTTATATTTAGACCCTTTAAAAAAAACAAACAAACAAACAAACAAAAAAAATACAATAGAAGCTTGCAATGAAAAACATATATCATCAAGGAGAAGAATAGTTAAAACATTGGTTGATTCTGCTGGTCAGAGTTATCGTTACATCTTAAGGAGACTAGTCCAAGTTTTTAATGGAAGAATAATTATGTATTACGTACAAAGAAGAGGAAAAATGAAAAATCAGAGCTAAAGAAAAGTAAGTGTGGAGTTCAATCACCACTAGATCAACTGGCTTAGCCCTCAATAGAAGGGACTGGACTAGGTCCCAAATGGACCAAATTAAAAAATCCCCCAAAATATATGTCTCCCAATCTTTCATAAACTTCTCAACTATCATCAACTACTAGAAATAAGAATTTGTGTGTTTTCAAGGCGCTTTCAGTTAATAATTGAATAAAATGACAGCAGCTACCACACAAATAGGGACTCTCTACCCTATAGATTAGTACAAAAAAAGATTAGGTGTACACTCAGTATTGGAAATTAATGATAAAAACCACCACTGGTGTGCATATGGAGTGCTTACAAATTTGTTGACTCACCCATATGGGTTAACATACATATGTATGGAAAACGTGACTCATAGCGATATATCTGAAACAAATGTAAATGCAAGAAATAGTGCAGATAACGTTTTCAATAAGTGCAGTGAGGGAATATTCTATATGGTCTCACTCACATGTAGCAGAGCCCTATAGGATAGGCTCAGATCTCAATGGCCTGCGTGTGCTTATGGTGACACAGTACCCAATCGGTCCTCTAGGCGTCTGGAGATCCTTATGCATACATGAGAGAGAGAGAAAGAGAGAACAAGGGGAAGAGGAGAACCCCTAGTGCGGTCAATCCCAATGTACAATGTCAAATAGTGCAGAAAAAGTGGCTTCTCACCTGATGTGGAGCCCTATACCTGGCTCCTGGTGTGTAGGTGTCTGTGCCTTTAAGGGGGCAACTACCCTTCTTTAAGCAGCAACAATGGAGGGTGGATTCCAAATATAAAACAAAATTTATTAAATAAAGTAGTAAAAACTTACAAGTAAAATATAAACAAAATTGTGAGAAATTATAAAATGTGGAATCTTCAATCCTCCAGCCGAAACATGTTTCACTGTACCCAGACAGCTTTTTCAATCGGTAATATAGTTGCTGCTGTTACTTGTTTAAATACTTTGTACTTCCTCCTGTGTAGTCCTTCAAACTTCCCTCCCTCCAATCCGCTGGCGTCCTTTTTCATGAACAGCTGTGCTGTGTTAGTAATGAGAATGCTCCGGTCTCGGAACAAGTCATGTGACCCGAAGCATCACGTGCCGCATCACAAATTGGGCGTGTTTTCAATGTAGGGCTCACAGTTCCATATCGTCCATTTTTAAGTTGGGCAAAATGCCCTTCCTTCAACCAAGTCCGTTCCTATTTACAAGCCAGATGCTCAATTTGAGCGATATATAAACGAAAAAATGAAGGGAGAAAGGGGGATAGTATTATTGTATATTGCTTACAAGTTAATTCATAAAATTTACATATCAAAAAAATAAAAACATCTATTGTTTTTCATTCAAAGTGACAGTACATGCATAAAGATAGGTGGTGAATAGGAGTGTGCTCTTTTAGGAGAAATGCTGATTATTATTGAATAGGTCTCAATTGTGTCAGCAGCTTATCTTCAATGATGATATCAATATTAAAATATATATATAAAAAACATATAAATATATAGTAGGTTCCTAGCTGGTCTCCCATACAAGTACTAACCAGGCCTAAGCCTGGATGGCTTCTGAGATCTGACGAGATCAGGCATTTTCAGACTGGTATGGCCATAGAGCAAATATTTAAAATGTATGAAACATACTAATAAAAAAATAATTTAAGTTAAAAAATGGCATAACTCAAAATCATCATTGAGACCATTAGGCTGCATGGTATTCAGGTTAAAAATCCATTGCATCTCCCTTTGGCCTAATTTTTTAATAAAATCTCCCCCTCTCCAATCGGGTGATACCCTCTGAATTGCATGGAATTCTAACTGGGTGGGATCGCTATTATGTTTATTTTTAAAATGTAAGGAGACACTGTGCTTTTCATAGTTGTTCCTAATATTCCTAATGTGTTCCTGTACTCTAATGTGCAACTTTCTTTTGGTGCGCCCTACATATACAAGTCCACATGGGCATATCAAGAGATAAATAACTCTCGTGGACTGACAAGTAATTAGCTCGTTGATCTTAAACATGACTTTTTTATTTTGAGGGTGTGAGAATTCTTTTACTAGTCTCTTCTTACTTTTTGAGTTCTTGCACGCACCACAGTGTCCACAACCATAAAACCCTTTTGTTTCGTTGAAAAAGTCCCTATTACATCTTTTTAGGGGTATATGGTTAGATGTTAAAGTGTTTCTTAAATTCTTTACTCCTCTATAAACAATCTTAGGCTTCTCCGGAAGAATACTATTAAGGAGGGGGTCATTTCTTAAAATTGGCCAATACTTTGAAACTATTTTTCTAAATTCTTTACTTTTACAGTTAAAGTCACATATAAGTCCTATTGTTTGTGGTTCAACTTTATTTTTAGTGTTATATTTAATTAGATCTTTTCTGTCCTTTATTTTGACTTCTTCAAGGGCTTTCCCCAACAATGTCTCGTTATATCCCTTTTCTCTAAAATCTTTCAGAATTTTGTGGGATTGTTCTTGGAATTTACATTCCTCCGTGCAATTCCTCCTTATCCTGAGCAGTTGCGCTTTGGGTGCATTCAGCAACCATGGGGAGAAATGGCAGCTATTCTCCCCAATGTAGCTGTTAACATCCACAGGTTTGAAAAAAGTACATGTCTTCAAACATGCATCCTCAACATAAATTTGGAGGTCCAGAAATTCCACTAGAATCTTGCTATAATTCGAGACTAATTTAATTCCCC